AAGAAGGAAAAGAACATGCAATTTTCAGTGGAGATACCTTGTTCCTGGGAGATGTTGGTCGTCCGGATTTGGCGCAAAAGGCAGCGAACATGACAATGGAAGAGTTGGCGGGAACGCTTTACGATAGTCTTCGAACGAAAATCATGACATTACCAGATGAAACAATCGTTTATCCTGGACACGGAGCAGGAAGTGCTTGTGGTAAAAACATGAGTAAAGAAACGATCGGATCGATTGGAGAGGAGAAGCGAACAAACTACGCATTGCGTGCGGATATGACACGTGAGGAGTTCGTGAAAGAAGTAACCGATGGATTGTTACCTCCACCAGCTTATTTCCCACTGAATGCTGCGTTGAACAAAATGGGATACGAGCACATCGATAAAGTATTGGAGAAAGGAGAAAACGCAATGTCACCGAATGCATTTGAAGTAGCAGCAAACGAAACAGAAGCGGTGGTGTTGGATGTACGTCACCAGAATGATTTCGCAAAAGGACACATTCCACGCTCCATCTTCATCGGAATTGATGGAAGTTTTGCACCGTGGGTAGGAGCATTGATCAAAGACGTAAAACAGCCGATCCTATTGGTTGTTGAGCAAGACAAATTGCGAGAAGTGGTAACACGTTTGGCGCGCGTTGGGTTCGATAATGTGATTGGATACCTGGAAGGAGGATTTGATGCATGGAAAGCAGCGAACAAAGAAGTGGATACAGTAGAAAGTATTTCCGCAGAAACGTTTGCATCCATCGTGAAAGAAGGAAATGTGAGTGTGATGGACGTGCGTAAAACATCTGAATACGCTTCAGAACATGTAATCGATGCAGAAAACGCACCATTGGATGATTTGAACGATTATTTGGCAATGTTCAAGTCCAATGAGAAGAATTATATTCACTGTGCGGGAGGATACCGATCTATGATCGCAAGTTCAATCTTGAAATCTCGTGGAATTCACAACCTTGTGGATGTTCAAGGTGGATTTGGAGCTATTAAAACAACGGACATTCCAGTTTCAGACTACGTGTGTCCAAGCGAATTGTAACAATATGGGAATCTTTAGTTTTTTTAAGTCGTTTATGGGAGGAGAAACAGTTAATTACAAAGAACTGATCGCTAATGGTGCGGTAGTGGTAGATGTGAGAACGCCAGGTGAATTTCAATCTGGTCATGTGAAGGGAAGTAAAAACATTCCGTTGCAGACATTACAGAATTCGATTTCATCGTTGAAAAACAAAGAAGTGATTCTCGTATGTAGATCAGGTGCAAGAGCCGCTTCGGCGAAAAATATACTCGGAAAACATGGAATTACCGCTTACAATGCGGGAGCATGGCAGAACGTGAATTAAGCATCGAACAATGTTAAAAGTAGCTTTAGAATATGATATCTGAAGAAATACAAAAGCACTTTCCGGCTTTAGCTAAATACCGGGATCTCGAGAACGAAATCGTTCGAC